TTATAAGAGTTGCCTTGATTATGGTGTCTGTTTACAGCAGTAAAATCCTAAGATACAATACTTCTTTGGATCAAACAATAATAAAAGGACAATGTAAGATTTAAACAGGAACCTTAATATTATGATAAACATTAATACTACTTGGAATTTTTCAATGTATTAATTTCAACCAGGTAAGATATACTTTTTGGATAACCTATCTTTGAATTAAACAATAAAAGGACAATGTAAGACTTCAACAGGAACCATCATATTTTGATAAACAGTAATACTACTTGAAATTTTTCAATGTATTAATTTCAACTTCTAAATTGTTTCCTATATTCTCAATATTTTGATTGCTTTGTAAATTTTACCTCTTTAAAAAAAAATTAACTGCATAAGCACGTGCTATGATGCATATGTGCCAAACAGAACAGTTCACAGGTATTTGTTTTAGAGCTCCTCTGTGTTCATAATAAGAAAAAACAAGCTCATCAAGTTTGGCATCAAGTATCTAAATCTGCTGAGGGAACTCGCTGGCCCTTGGTTCCATTTCAAAAATCTTTATGAAATTCTAGTGTATGAAGGTGCACACAATCCAGGTGTAGTAATCAGAGAAAAGTTTGAATGAGATCATCAAGCTTTGGAGCAACAACCTTTACTCACAGAAACAATTCTCTGGCATGCATTTTTGTTTCTGAGAAAGTGTTAAGGACAAACATTTAGTCCTCCAAATAAACGAACATGATCTGTGGGCATTTGTGGCTGGAGAATCTGATCTGAAGCAAGAGTGAGATTGAAATATGCCCAAAATCCTGAAAAACTTAGCCTGAGACTGGCAGGAGATAGGGATGCCCTCTCCCTGTCTACAGCCTACATACAAGTTCTGGCACATAACCTCTACTTCTCCCACCTCTGAGGACGGCCACATTATACGTTGTTCAACTCCTTTATCCCAGTAAAGTTCTTGGAATGTCTCTTCATGCAAATAAAGCATTCCCAGCACTTCAGCCCCAGACAGTAAAGTACACCCACCCTGGAAATCCCCACCCACTCACTAAGATCGGTATAGTCCTTGCTCACCCTGAATAAAGTAGAATTGCCTTACTGCAGCTGATCCCAAAAATCATCCAGCATATCCACAACATTCTGAACCCTGCACATTACACCATCATGGGCTGGTGGCTAATGACCTCCAAGGAAGGGAAGACCCACAATAACCCAAAAAAATAATGGATGACAACATACATATCAGTTTCACTTGGAATAAGTTTTAGTATTCAAATTGTTTGTTCCTGAATCCTTGGATGACAATATGTTTACAATTTGTAAAGGAGACAAAATTTTAATGATGGACTGTTTCTACTAATCTTCCTCAAGCCCCAAAGAGATAGCTCAATGGGAAAAATGTATGTGGAATGCAAGGCTTTACCTCACACATTAGGTTCATGCTTTTTACCAATGTGAGTTCTATCATGCTTTTGAAAGTTGCTACAACATGTGAAGGCTTTATCACACTGATTACATTCATAAGCTTTTTGTACAGTATGACTTCTTTCATGCCTATGAAGATGACTATTCTGTAAAAAGACCTTACCACATTGCTTACATCCATAGTGTTTCTCTCCAGTATGTCTTCTTTCATGCCTGTGAAGGTCACTTTTGCATGCAAAAGCTTTAAAACATTGATTGCATTCTCCCCAGTATGACTTCTTTCATGCCATTGAAGATGACTGTTCTGTGAAAATGCTTTGCCACATTGATGACATTCATAAGGTTTCTATCCAGTATGACTTCTTTCATGCCTTTGAAGATTACTGTTACGTCCAAAGGCTTTACCACATAGACTACATCCATAGGATTTTTCTCGAGTACAGTTTATTTCATGATGGAAAAGATGACTATTCTGTGCAAACGCTTTACCACTTTGATTATATTCACAGGGCTTTTGTCCGGTAAGACTTCTTTCATGACTATGAAGATTACTCTTCTGTACAAAGGCTTTACCACATTGTTTATGTCCATTGGGTTTCTCTCCAGTATGACTTCTTTCATGCCTTTGAAGATTACTGTTGCACCCAAAAGCTTTACCACATTTATTACACCCATATGGTTTCTCTCCAGTATGACTTCTTTCATGCCGTTGAAGATGACTGTTACGTGAAAAGGCTTTACCACATTGATGACATTCATACGGTTTCTCTCCAGTATGACTTCTTTCATGCATTTGAAGATAACTGTTACATGCAAAAGTTTTACCACAGTGATTACATCCATAGGGTTTCTCTCCAGTATGAATCTTTTCATGCCTGTGAAGATGACTTTTATATGCAAAAGCTTTACTACATTGATTACATTCAAAGGGTTTCTCAAAATTAATTCTTTCATGTATTTGAAGACAAATGGGACAGACAAAGGTTTTACCACATTGATCATATCCATAGCTTTTCTCTTTAGTATGCGATCTAGGGACTTGATAAAGACTATGGGTTGCAAAGGCGTTATCACTTTGATTATCTTCATAAAGTTGTATTTCCAAATGAGTTCTTTTCTGTAATTTTAAAGATGAATCAGACCCAAACTTTATCATGTTGGTTACGTCCATAGGGATCCTCTTCACTGTTGGTTCTTTTGTGTGTGTGATGACACTGGGGACGGTTAGGGCCTTCAGTGCATGGCTCACAGTTATCTCTTCCTTTTCCCACCAGAATTTTTTCACATCCTAGAAGAGAACTGTAAGAACTCAGGGTTTTACTACACTGATTATATGCATATTTTCCTATACTGTGAGTCACATGACAGGTGCAAAGTGAACCAGTATAGACAGATGAATTTCTGCATTCCTTGTACTCACGAGGTTTCTCTCCAGTGTGAGTTTGTTGATGCACTGCCATGGAAGTTGGAAAACCAGTTAATTGTAAATTTGCATCACAGTCATCATGTCTTCTCATAGTGGGGATGACTACATATCGTTTAATTGTCCTGGGAGAGACAGGGGTACACTGCTTCTTTTTATATCGCTTACCCTCACAGGGCTTGTATCCAGAGTGACAGATGATATACCTATTAAATGAAGGATAACAGATAAAATATTTTCACATTGCATTTGCATAGTATAACCATTTGTGTCTCATAGATACAAATAGGTATAGGGATTCAGGCTTGTCAACCACAACAGTCTTCATTTGTGTGAGAGTTCTACATATTCATCTGGAGGCTGCTAAAAAAATACTCATTTCCAGGAAGCTAGGATAAGGGTCTTAAGCCTATGTACACAGTGACACACTTACTCCAACACCTCCTAATAGTGCCAAGCATATACAAACCATCAAAATCACAGATGGAAAACCAAGATATTCTATGACAAAACCAAATTTAAACAATAGCTTTCTACTAATCCAGCCCTACAGAGGATACTAGAAGCAAATCTTCAATACAAGGAAACATTACACCCAGGAAAACACAAGAAATTACTTATCTCACAACAAACCCAAAAGAAGAGAATCACAAACGCATAATACCACCTCCAACAACAAAAAAAAATCAGGAAATCACTGGTCTTAATATCTCTCAATTCCCCAATAAACAGAAACAGGCTAACAGACTTGAAAAGGAAAAAGGAGCTTGCTGCATGCAAGAAACACAGTTCAGCAACAAAGACAGACACTACCTCAGAGTAAAGGGCAGAAAAAAGTTCTCCAAGCAAATGGTTCCAATAAACAAGCTTGAGTAACCATTGTAAGATCTAATAAAATAAACTTTCAACTAAAAGTTATCAAAAGAGATGGGGAAGGATACTTCATACTCATCAAAAGAAAAAAACCCACCAAGATGATGTCTGAATTCTGAACATCTAAGGGCCCCCACATTTATAAAAGAAATGTTGCTAAAGCTCACAACACACATCGAACCTCACACAATAATAGTGGGAGACTTCAACACCCCACTCTTACCAGTGGACAGGTCATGGAAACAGAAACTAAACAGAGACACAGTACAACTAATAGAAGTTATGAATAGGTATCTACAGAACATTCTGCCCCCCCAAAAAGAAAATTCTTTTTAACACCTCATGGAACCATCTCCAAAATTGATCATATAATTGGACACAAAACAAGCCTCAACAGGTACGGGAAGATTGAAATAATCCCATGTATTCTATCAAACCACCATAGATTAAGGTTGGACTTCAATAACAACAAAAACAACAGAAAGCCCACATACTCATGGAAACTGAACAACCCTCTACTCAATGATAACTTGATAAGGGAAGGAATAAAGAAATTAAAGACGTTCTAGAATTTGTTGTAAATGAAGGTACAGCACACCTAAACTTATGAGATATAAGGAAAGCCCTGCTAAGAAGAAAATTCATAGCATTAAGTACCTTTATAAAAAAAATTGGAGAGATCCTATAATAGTAAGTTAACAGCACACCTGAAAGCTCTAGAACAAAAAGAAGCAAGCACTCCCAAGAGAAAGACGGCAGGAAATAATCAAACTCAGTGCTGAAGTAGACCAAGTAGAAACAAAGTGAACAATACCAAGAATCAACAAAACCAAGTGTTGGTTCTTTGAGAAAAATCAAAAAGATAGATAAACCCTTAGCCAAACTAACTAAAAGGTACAGAGACAGTATCAAAATTAATAAAATTAGAAATGAGAGACATAACAACAGAAACTGAGGAAATGTAAAAAATCAGCAGATCTTACTACTTAAGTCTATATATACCAGACAAAACTGGAAAACCTAAATGAAATGCATGATTCTCTAGACAGATACCATATACCAAGGTTAAATTAGGATCAGATAAACAATCTAAACAGTCCCTTAACCCCTAAGGAAATAGAAGCAGCCATTACAAATCTCCCAACCAAATCCAGCCAAGGATTAGATGGTTTTAGTGCAGAATGCAACTACACCTTCTAAGAAGAGCTAATACCAATACTCTTCAAATTATTCAACAAAATAGAACAGAAAGAATGCTACCTACTTCCTTCTATGAAGCCGCTGTTGTTACTGTGTCATCCAAACCACACAAAGAAAAAGAACTTCAGACCAATTTCGCTTATGAATACAAATGCAAAAGTACTGAAAAAAATTCTTGCAAATCGAGTCCAAGAACACACCAAAACCATCATTCACCATAATCAAGTAGGCTTCATCCTAGGGATGCAGGGATGATGCAATATACAAAATTCCATCCATGTAATCCAGTATACAAACAAATTGAAAGAAAAAAAATCTCATGATCATGTCATTAGATGCTGAAAAAGCCTTTGACAAAATACAACCCCTCTTCATTTTATACATCTTGAAGAGATCAGGAGTTCATGGCACATAACTAAACATAATAAAAGCAATACACAGGAAACTAACAGCCAGCATCAAATTAAATGGAGAGAAACCAGAAGCAATCCCATTATAGTCAGCAACAAGACAGGCCATCCATTCTCTCCCTATCTATTCAATATAGTACTTGAAGTCCCAGCTAGAGCAATTAGACAACAAAAAGAGACAAGGGGTATACAAATTTCAAAGGAAGAAGTCAAGGTATTATTATTTGTGGATGATATAACAGTATACATGAGTGACCCAAAAAAGGAGCTGAGAACTTCTTTTGGGTATACAGCTGATAAACAACTTCAGCAATGTGTCTGGATATAAAATTAACTCAAACAAATCAGTAGCCTTCCTTAATACAAATGATAAACAGGCTGAGAAAGAAATTAGAGGAACAACGCCCTTCACAATAGCCACAAATAATATAAAATATATTCATGTAACTTTAACCATGCAAGTGAAAGGTCTGTATGACAAGAACTTCAAGTCCTAAAGAAATTGAAAAAGACATCAGAAGATGGAAAGATCTCCCATGTTCCTGGATCGGTAGAATTAACACAATAAAAATGGCCATCTTACCAAAAGCAATCTACAGATTCAATACAATCTCCATCAAAATTCCAGCTCAATTCTTCAAAGATATAGAAAGAACAATTCTCAACTTCATATGGAAAAACAAAAAGCCCAAGACAGCCAAAACAATCCTGAAAAATAAAAGAACTTCTGGGAGAATCACCGTCCCTGACATCTGACATCAAGCTGTACTACAGAGCAATAGTGATACAAATATCATGGCATTGGTATAGAGACCTACAGGTCAATCAGTGGAATAGTATTGACAACCCAGACATAAACCCACACACTTACAGACATTTGATCTTTGACAAAGAAGCCAAAGCCATACAGTGACAAAATGAAAACATCTTTAACAAATGGTGCTGGTCTATCTGGTGGTCTACATGTGGAAGGAAGAATGCAAAGTGATCCATATTTATCACTTTATACAAAGCTCATATCCAAGTGGATCAAGGACCTGAACATAATACCAGATACACTGAATCTAATAGAAGACAAAGTGGGAAATAACCTTAAACGCTTTGCATGTGGGAGATTTTCCTGAACAGAACACCAATGGCTCAGGCTCTAAGATTAACAATTGATAAATGGGACCTCATGAAATCGCAAAGCTTCTTTCTGTAAGGCAAAGTACACTGTCAACAGGACAAAACGGTATCCTACAGATAGAAAAAAAGATCTTCACTAACCCTACATCCAACTAACATCCACAGGACTAGCATCCAAAATATATAAAGAACTCAAGAAGTTAGACTCCAAAAAATCAAATAAACCAATTAAAAAATGGGGTCTAGAGATAAACAGATAACTCACAACAGAGGAATTTCCAATGGCCAAAACACACTTAAAGAAATGTTCAACATCCTTAGTCATCAGGGAACTGCAAATCAAAACGACCCTGAGATTCTACCTTACATCAACCAGAATGGCTAAGATCAAAAACTCAAGTGACAGCACATGTTGGTAAGGATGTGGAGAAAGAGGAACACTCCTCTGTTGCTGGTGGGATTGCATACTGGGTACAACCAGTCTGGAAATCAATCTGGCTATTCCTCAGAAAATCGGAAATAGTTCTACCTGAAGACCCAGCTATACCACTCCTGGGCATACACCCAAAAGATGTTCCACCAAACCAGAAGTACAGGAAAATTTCCCACTGCTATGTTTATAGCAGCCTTATTCACAATAGTCAGAAGCTGGAAACAACCCAGATGTCTCTCAACTGAACAATGGATACAGAAAATGTAGTTTATTTACACAATGGAATACTAGTCAGCCATTAAGAACAAGGACATCATAAATTTTGTAGGCAAATGGATGGAACTAGAAAATATCATCCTGAACGAGGTAACACAGACCAAAAAAGGACATGCATGGTATGCACTCACTGATAAATAGATATTAGCCGAAATGTACAGAATATCTACAATACAACTCACACAGGGAAAGGAGACAACATTTGAAATATAAATAAGTAAAATAATTTAGTAAAAAAATTATGATCACTTCAAGAACCATTTTTCATGAGAAAATAAATTTAAAAAAAACTTCAGGGTATATTATTAATACTTCTTCAGAGGCATCTACCTATCTATCTATCTTTCTATCTATCTATCTATCTATCTATCTATCTATCATCTATGTATCTACATCAGCTTGCACATGAAAATTACCTTTCATGTCTTCCAGAACATTGACAATGGTCTTCAATATTGCAGTCTTCCCATTTATAGCCTAAAATACAGTACCAGAAAATGCGTATTAATGAAAATTGTGAAAAACTGAAATTACTATCTTCAGTGAACCTTAGATCAATGCCTGATTAATTCATCACACTCTTCCTCTTTCAAGATAAAAACCATAGAAAAGCACCAATCTCCAAGAAAGGCTTGTCTCCTTAAGGTAAAAAGTGGAGGAGAACTCTAGTTCTCACCTATAGCAGTGAGGTTCCTGCAGGTTTCCAGCATCACATCTCTGTAGAGACTCTTCTGGGAAGGATCCAGCAAAGCCCACTCTTCATGACTGAAGTTCACATGCACATCCTCATAGCTCAGTGGATCCTAAAAGATTTCGTACAAATACACAATAGAAATGGTGTCTTAGTGAGTTATAAATATATTCATTGAGAATATATTTACATAATTCTATCATCTAGCCATATTAATTCCATGTAATAGAATTTCAAATGTAGTCACAAACCCATAAATATATAATAAAATTAAAACTGATAAATATACAATAAAAATATAATAATAAAAACTGAGGATGGTGCAACACTGCAGGAGAAACGCACAGTAACATATGCACAGAG